ATTATCTCAAATTCTCCTAATAATTTATACTTGTATTCTTATATGCTTGAACCGGCTTCTAATGCAGCTTGGGGATTGTAGTCGTGGGGGCACAGTCCTAATAATATATATGTGACAGATAGGGTGCTGGTGTTAATATAACAGAGATTGACTCCGAATAGTGCTACCAGTGACAGATAGTATGTATATTTATTAATATACGATATGATATGGCTTCCCTTTTTCTTTTCTACAAATATTTACATGGCTACTGCTCTGACCAGCTGTTTTCTCGGGTGCTGGACTACTTGTATGTAAGCGTGATACTAGATTGGCATCTAGATCCCACCCTTTTTGTTGTGGATTCCGAGGTGAATTCGGTCTCCAATGAAGGACAAACGCAAGAATTAAATATAAGAAATAAAATGTATTTACACAATCATACAAAGAGTAATACTGTTAGTAAGTCCAGGAACGCGGTTAGTAGCAAATACAGATAGATATATACAGTCTCGAAGTAGGACTTCCTTAGAGTCTACGTGCTTGTAACTGACTTCTTCAAGAGGTTACCTCACACTATCTCCGTTCGTATATTCTCTCTCTCTCTCTCTCTCTCTCTCTCTCTCTCTCTCTCTCTCTCTCACCGTATATCCTCTCTCACTGACTGTCTAACTCTGGGTATTTAACGGCAGCACTCCAAGTAACACTGGTAGAGCCCACTTATATGAAAAGGGGAGGACCCCATAACACTTTTGCTGTTGAATTCGGCAAATGTAACCGCCACTTCTACTCTGACAGTTTCTTTTCTCGTACTTACCGCTTGTGGAACTTGCTTTCGTTTCCTTGCTTCCCTGATAATTAAAATCTTCAAAAATTTAAATTCAAGTTCAGACGCCATCTTGTATCTACCTGAAACCCGTTCATGTTTTACCCTTTCCCCAGTTCCTCTCATACATAGTCTTTTCTCCTTTACTCTCTGGAGCAAGTAACTTCCGCATTTTATATTTAAAAATATATCATAATATAAATGAGTAGCCGGCGTTTATATAAAATAATGTAAAACAAAAGGAAATTTCTCTTTGTTTATTTCCATTCGCCTTCTCCATTTAATATGACAATAGAAGAAATACTTTTCTTGTTCCACATGTAGACATGTGGACTCTCCTCTAAACGGAAGGCGTACATTTCCACAATCAAACATTTCTTATTTTATTCTTATAGAATAAATGTTTTATAAAATTTCGCTTTATTTTCGTATCGTTTTGTAGAAAACATATCGAGTGGTACTGATAATTCACCGCGAGATAAAATTTCATTTCAAACCCAAAGAAGATGTACAACAATTTTACAAGAGTTAGAAAATTTCCAGAGAGCAGCATTAGGAAAATTAGCAGAATATCTTGAAAAGTGCAAAAATATAGGGAAACCTTACTTGAACTGGATCTCTAGCCAGAAATTTTCGATGAGAAAAATAAACTCATATATCGAAAATAAAGATCAGCTCCCCCGCTATCATATGGGACAAAACAAAACTTATCGGGATCGGTATTTGGGGATTAAATTATATGCTTATAAGCAAGCGAAAGAAAATAATGAAAATATTTTCGTCTAGTTCTCTAGAGACCCGATGCAAGTAGTAATTCCTCGCCAAGGTGCCGGATCGGGGGTAAATGGCTCTTTTTAAATCACAGTAATAGGCAATAAATAAATGTTGACTAAGACGCAAAAAGTATGGCGGCAGACATTTTAAAACCTTCGCCTAGACTGTAAATAGTTGTTTCCAAATCGCGTTCCCTAATGTAAATATGTAGGCTTCCGAATACTCATTCACAAAAAACTATAATAATCGGGCATTTGTCTCCACCCACACACATATATATATATATATATATATATATATATATATATATAGGTGTGTGTGGCTGAACGTGCAATAGGCATGTTCTTTTAGATGTTTAAAAATAAATTTATCCTTTAGGGGGATCATTAACTGTCAATTAATAGTATTTACTTAAATAAACATTGGAGGAAAAGGAACAGAAGCAAAGAGCTGCTGACGTAGAGAAAATAACTTGCTTTATAACATCAACAAGATACAATACTCGCCAGCGGCGTGAAGTAGGTAAACAACTGATAGAAGTGGACTACTTAGACAGAATATTACCCTCCCACTTACAGTATTGTGCAACGTATTTATGAGGATTGGGACATACCCAGTAGTGTTATTAGGCATGGTATATAACACGCGAAATACAGATATCTATCTATCTATCTATCTATCTATCTATCTCTCTCTCTCTATATATATATACACACACACACACACATATATATATATATATATATAGAGAGAGAGAGAGAGGAGAGAGAGAGATATAGATAGATAGATAGATATGAACACACAGTGATAGATAGATAGATAGATAGATAGATAGATAGATAGATAGATAGATAGATGAAAAGAGTGATATAGATGCACATCTGTAGAAAATATGATCACATAGAATAGAAAGGAATGGTTAAAATAATCAGAGGTACAAAAATGATATTTTGATGTAAAACTCTAAACATTGCTTCTGAGAAAAATGTATCTTTCGTTATCTTCATTCGCTTAATTGTCGCCGAAAGCGATATTTAAGATCGATGCCAATCAATCTGTTCATTGATGTTGTCATTATTTATAAATAAATCTATAAATAAGGTGAAAACTCGTTGGCCAAACGACATTTCCAACGTGAGATTTACATTATTCTTCGTTTTAAAACCGTCTAATCAACTAAAATTAATATTACATGATTTTTGTTGCTTTCATCTTATAAAAATTGTTCATGATTGCTTTTTAAAAACTGTAGAAATATTAATGATGGCAAAGAAAAAGAATCCTGAAATAAATATTAATAATTTTCAGCATAAACAATGGCATACGTGAAATTATGATGCATTCACTAAAAACTGTTTTCTTTTTCTATATAGAAAGATGTAATATATTTATTTTGTAAGAAAAAGGATATTTCACTTGGATCATCACGACGCCATGATTAATTTATTTATTTTCACTGGTGATGTTCTTTACAACCTTTGCATCTAACACAAATATCATACAAAATTGTTTCATAAATATGAGTGGAATGTGCCATCTTCGTTTTTAATTATTTGATCCCAAGCAAGGCAATGCAGAAGTGGGTTACTGAGTGCGAGGAAATATGAGAAAAATAAAACATTACTAAGGAAAGAGAGAAATAAAAGAACAGGAATTAAGAATGCACAAGATAACGGTTGACATAGACACTTTTAAACAACAAAGTTGGAAAGGTAGAAGCCAGAACAGAGTTCCACAGGCTATAAGAGTGAGTGAAGATACAGTTAGCATAGAACTTACGGTGAAATCTCGCCATTTCAGTTGTAGAATTATTTATTCATATATTATACGTACTCGTGTAATACGCAATGCTGAGTTTTGGCTACGAAATTGTGGATAAAAATCCTTTCGTATACAGTTACGACTGAATAGTGAGTTCGATCCTCATTGGGTGCCCCATACTTTCGGCTTTGTGCCACATCTAAGCTACGCTTAGAAAATCAATAATGCGTAAATCCCTCTCTTGAGGGGTATACACATTCGGATACTTACTGGTCACAGGGATCCGTCCCTGTGTTGGTAGTATCACAGCTCTGACTAGCTTGGACCGGCTCTGACCAGCTAAAACTAACTTGGTCAAGCTATAACCAGCTAAGACCAGCGGCCTGAGTGAAGACACTCAGGTCCCCACGTTAAAAACCGACCTTGTGTCAAAACCTGACTCAGTGGTAAGGGGACAAGTAAATACCGTATGTATGTACCGACGTTTTATAGAGTATTAAAAAGAAAGATTCCCGGGTATGTTCCTGCTAAAATGCATCAGGTTGTGCACAAAGAACATTCCAGTGGCAAGTAACGATTTCTTTGTAGTTGAGTAAAACCGGGGTAGATATTGTTACTGTTTTCTGTTCTTACTGAAGTCAAATTGAAAGACATACGCTAATTAGCTTAACTTCCAAAGGACAAGACGACGTTTTAGTAAACAGTGTCAGAGAAGACATGTACTACAATTACAACACATACCGGACTGTCATAATGCTCCCCCCACCACCTTACAACTTTGAAGTAGGTTAAAATATAATTAATTTCTATGTGAATGTTATTTTAAATCAATGCAGTGTTTCTTTAGTGATTTAAACGCTTTTTTTTCTATGCATTCGATCATTTTGACTATATTATCCCAAATGCGGCGATGAATGGGGCCGGAATAATAAATATGTAGGTTAATCAATTCTATATTTTAGATTCAAAATATCTAGAAAAAAATGTTTATATTATATATGAATATTTACAGGATATTCTATGGTATTTTATATTTTATTTTTAGATTGCTATGCTGTTCAAGTTAAAATAGTTGAATAGTAATGTGCTAAAGAAAATTTCGCTACGTGATGCACTTTATGCTTGCTATGGCAAAAAGAAATCCGCCGAAAAGATTATTTACATTATTCAGACTATTGTCCTCTTCTTTATTGCCATATTTATTACGTTTCGGCTGTTGTACGCTCCGGCCTTCTTCAGGTGGTTGGAATGTCTAACTAAATCGTTTATTTCGCTCACTGGGGTAGACTGTTCTAGTTCCACGTGCCACGTCTAATAGATGTCAATTATCAGTTATCCCCTGCTTAATTCCCTCTCCAAGTTATTCACCACCTTAACTTGATATCTTTACATTGTTGGAACAACTGAATAGGCAAAAAGTATTAGATGAACTTAAACGTCACATATTCAACAGATATTCCTAGAATATAAATGAACATCTATTGTCAGTTACATGATCGTCCCCAGCGCCCCATTTGCAACATAATAACAGCGTGCCATGAACCAAAATCCTCAAAGCGAAATTTCTTGATAAGAAAATGATATACGTCATTCAAATAAAACAATTTCTCTTTGTAGGGTTCAGGATTTTTTTTTCTTCCCCCAATTCGTAGAGTCGGATGGTCACATTACGTCGAAACAGCGGTTCTCGTTCGATCACCGAAGTTAAGTAATGCTGAGCCTGATCTGTACCTAGATGGGTGACTGCTTGGGAATAACAAGTTCTGTAAGCTTGGATCTGCTTGTGATGTTATAGATAATGCGTCTGAAATGCAAGAGACGAGTTCCAATTCCATTTGGATCCGTAATATTCACCTACGCGCAAATAACCTTGGGAAATTTAAGAATGCACCTTTTCTCCTCCACAAACTTGTATCGTAAAAAAAGCATTAGTATCTCCAAAAAATAAAATAAGAGTTCTTACAAAATATTTAGATTTCGGCAATAGAGGTTGATTACTCGCTAAGCAAAAACAAACAACCCAATTCGTTTTAAAGACTTCTAATCTGAATTCCACCAAACACAGAAAAATTCTCATCTAGTAAATTCCATTTTAGACGTAAACGATTTCTTACAACCAGGCACAATTCTATTTATCTTAAAGGGTTGAAAAGATTCTAATTTTCATTACGAATAAGCAAGTGAGCAATTCTGTGTCAAAAAAGAAGTATTTAAGAAAAAACCGAATTAATTTTCTCTATCTCACGAGGAGATTATTTCTAAAGTTTGCTAAATACTTCCATAACATCGTACAAATTATGACGCTAGGTGCATTTCTATCAACATTACATTTGCATATTTCTACATTTCAGGTAAGATGAGAACGAATACATTACAATTCCAATGTTAATAAATTTAATTTAAAGGAGGGCTCAATACAGAGTAGAGCAATATTATTTATTTTAGTATATTAAAGCAAGATTTAAAAATCGCTACACAATTGCATTCGTGTTTCGAATCATACCAATGTGTCTTCTCAAGGGATTGTAAATTACTGGAGATTGATCGATTAATTTACAATCGCCTGAGGAGACGCATTGGTTTACGTCGAAACACGACTACAATTGTCTAGCGATTTTTACATAACATAACATTTCTATATTTTTATTTACTAGTTTGGCATAAAAACAATATTCAAATCATAATGATAATTATGTGAAACAAACTTATTTCAGTTGATATTTATTAAAATATGATAAATATTTGTACATTTCATTACTGGTGTCTTAACTCACAAATATTATTTATCAATTTATGTATTTCTAACTTTTTCTCATATCTTATCATTCCATAGTCTATATAAACACTCAGTCTGAACAATTTACATTGTCAACACTTACAAAGTAGGTCAAGATGTTTAAATATTATACTCGAATTATTGTCCTTACAGTTTACTAGGTAAAATTAAACTAACATGAATTTATGAAGATCAAAGATTACCACGAAGAGCGGACGGCACAAAAACTGAAAATAACAACTGTCCTTTATTGACATTATGGTGCAGAACAGCAACAGGAATGTCAGTTATTGTACGTGCAAAGCTGTAATGGGAGAAATCTTTAAAGGCACGCTGTAATATCAGAAATATGTCTTCCATATTCCCAGATTATGTGAGCAAAAATTATGCATAATCAACATATGCCGTTTTTAATAAAGCTGCACATGTTTGTTGCAATAACGCTGCACATGTTTGTTGCAATAACGCTGCACATGTTTGTTATAATTCAATCTAGATTTGTATATGCGGAGATTGAATTCACTCCGAACATAGAGTTCTGCATATTTACTGGTGATTTTCTGTTTAACTGAACAATATCCTGTTCGTTGAATTGTTAGGACAATTTAGGTCAAGACATGTCAAGTTTTTTTGCTGTATATTCAATCATATCTATTCACTGACTCACACGGTCTCTTCTTCCTGTTCAAATTCATTTGTAAATCACGTCTTTTCTTAAATCGTTTCGTTTTTCTCGTCACTTGTTACGTTTCTAAATCCTAGATGTCTACAAATCTTCGTTATCATTTGTACGCCTAAGCAGATCCTACATCAGTGTCTACTTGTTACACAGGATCAATTGTTAAACACTTGATTGATACAATTTTATTTCTTGTACTTTAGATGTTTCTCAAATAAATTCTGTCTGTTTGATACACAGATTTTTTAATTATATTTGGAATAGTTTTCTGCGAAACTTTATAATTTTGTCGTTGACTTTATAACTGCTTTTTTGAGTCTATTGAAAATATCGTTGATTTTATAATTATATTTGGAACTGCTTTTTGAGTCTATCGTGAAAATATCGTTGACTTTATAACTGCTTTTTTATGAAAAACGTTGACTTTATCTTTTGAGTTTATCGTGAAAATATCGTTGACTTTTAACTGCTTTTTAGTCTATCATTGAAAATATGCTTTTTGAGTCTATCGTGAAAATATCGTTGACTTTATCGTCTATGAAAATATCGTTGACTTTATAACTGCTTTTGAAAATATCGTTCTTTATCGTGAAAATATCGTTGACTTTATAACCTTTTGAGTCTATCGTGAAAAATATCGTTGACTTTATAACTGCTTTTGAGTCTATCGTGAAAAATATCGTTGACTTTTAATAACGTTGAAAATATCGTTGCTTTTTGAGTCTATCGTGAAAAATACTTCTTTTTTGAGTTGAAAATACTTTATAACTGCTTTTTGAGTCTATCGTGAAAATATCGTTGACTTTATAACTGCTTTTTGAGTCTATCGTGAAAATATCGTTGACTTTATAACTATCGTGAAAATATCGTGCTTTATTTTTGAGTCTATCGTGAAAATATCGTTGACTTTATAACTGCTTTTGAGTCTATCGTGAAAATATCGTTGACTTTTTGCTTTTGAGTCTATCGTGAAAATATCGTTGACTTTATAACTGCTTTTTGAGTCTATCGTGAAAATATCGTTGACTTTATAACTGCTTTTTTTGAGTTTTTTGAAATATCGTTGACTATCATTGAAATCGTGAAATATCGACTTTATAACTGCTTTTTTGTCTATCTCGTTGACTTTATAACTGCTTTTTGAAAATAGTCTTTTATTTATCGTGAAAATATCGTTGACTTTATAACTGCTTTTTGAGTCTATCATTATCGTGAAAATAAAGTCTATCGCTTTTTGAGTTTGATCGTCGAAAATATCGTTGACTTTATAACTGCTTTTGAGTCTATCGTGAAAATATCGTTGACTTTATAACTGCTTTTTGAGTTTTGAAAATATCGTCTATCTTTTGAGTCTATCGTGAAAATATCGTTGACTTTATAACTGCTTTTGAGTTTATTGAAAATATCGTTGTCTTTTTATCGTGAAAATATCGTTGACTTTATAACTGCTTATTGAAAATATCGTTGACTTTATAAATGCTTTTTGAGTTTATCGTGAAAATATCGTTGACTTTATAACTGCTTTTTGAGTTTTTGAAAATATCGTTGTCTTTTTGATCTATCGTGAAAATATCGTTGACTTTATAACTGCTTTTTTTTTGAAAATAGTCTTTTTATCTATCGTGAAAAAATATCGTTGACGTTTTTATAACTGCTTTTTTGCTTTTGATCGTCTATCGTGAAAATATCGTTGACTTTTAACTGCTTTTTAACTGCTTTTTTGCTTTTTGGAGTCTATCGTGAAAATATCGTTGACTTTTATAACTGCTTTTGAGTCTATCGTGAAAATATCGTTGACTTTATAAAGTTTATCGTGAAAATATCGTTGACTTTATTGCTTTTTGAGTCTATCGTGAAAATATCGTTGACTTTATAACTGCCTTTTTTGAGTCTATCGTGAAAATATCGTTGACTTTATAAAAATATCGTTGACTTTATAACTGCTTTTTGAGTCTATCGTGAAAATATCGTTGACTTTATAACTGCTTTTGAGTTCTATCGCTTTTTGAAAATATCGTTGACTTTATAACTGCTTTTGAGTTTATCGTGAAAATATCGTTGACTTTATAACTGCTTTTTGAGGTGAAAATATCGTTGACTTTATAACTGCTTTTTGATATCGTGAAAATGATTTTATAACTGCTTTTGACTATTGAAAATATCGTTGACTTTATAACTGCTTTTTGAGTCTATCGTGAAAATATCGTTGACTTTATAACTTTTTTGAGTTTATCTTTTGAGTTTATCGTGAAAATATCGTTGACTTTATAACTGCTTTTTGAGTTTATCGTGAAAATATCGTTGACTTTATAACTGCTTTTTGAGTTTATCGTGAAAATATCGTTGACTTTATAACTGCTTTTTGAGTCTATGTGAAACTTTATCGAAAATATCGTTGACTTTTAACTGCTTTTTGAGTTTATCGTGAAAATATTCTTTTTAGGTCTATCGTGAAAATATCGTTGACTTTATAACTGCTTTTTGCTTTTTGAGCTTTTTCTATCGTGAAAATATCGTTGACTTTATAACTGACTTTATTTTTTTGAGTTTATCGTGAAAATATCGTTGACTTTATAACTTGCTTTTTGAGTTTATCGTGAAAATATCGTTGACTTTTTGAGTCTATCGTGAAAATATCGTTGACTTTATAACTGCTTTTTGAGTTTATCTTTTGAGTTTATCGTGAAAATATCGTTGACTTTATAACTGCTTTTTTATAACTGCTTTTGAGTCTATCGAAAATATCGTTGACTTTTAATCTTTTTTTTATGAAAATATTTGACTTTATAACTGCTTTTTGAGTCTATCGAAAATATCGTTGACTTTTTTGAGTTTATTATAACTGCTTTTGAGTTTATCAGTTGAAAATATCGTTGACTTTATAATCGTTGCTTTTTGAGTCTATCATTGAAAATATCGTTGACTTTATAACTGCTTTTTGAGTCTATCATTGAAAATATCGTTGACTTTATAACTGCTTTTTGAGTCTATCGTGAAAATATCGTTGACTTTATAACTGCTTTTTAGGTCTATCGTGAAAATATCGTTGACTTTATAACTGCTTTTTTTGAGTTTATCGTGAAAAATTTTGACTTTTATCGTCTATCGTGAAAATATCGTGACTTTTGAGTTTATCATTGAAATATCGTTGACTTTATAACTGCTTTTTTGAGTTTATCGTGAAAATATCGTTGACTTTATAACTGCTTTTTGAGTCTATCATTGAAAATATCGTTGACTTTATAACTGCTTTTGAGTCTATCGTGAAAATATCGTTGACTTTATAACTGCTTTTGTTTATCGTGAAAATATTT